TTTGAAATGTCTGTAGTCTCTTACTTGTATTCTCTGATAAGTATGATAGTAATCGAGCACTATAGAGAAGAGAAGGACGAAGAATTCTTTTATAAATAAGCAATTTCAGTCTGAGAGGGAGTTAGGGAATATAAGGAGGTGATTGAAGTTCTAATATTCTTGCCTAACCTTTAGTAGTTTGGAAGTGTCGTGAGAAGTGAATTTTAATTGTCTGTCCAAATCAAATCTCTTTCATTCTGTATTATATTACAGATCTTTACAGATTAAAAAGAAACTTAAATTTGAGGAAATTTGTGGGATAATAGGTGATCAAACCTCTCACTTATGCAGGAAAGCACTGGAAAGAGAGTTTGATCGATATTTGATGCTTAGGTACAGAAGTCTTCCTCTACTGAATCCCTTTTAAGTTTTATTTGGAAAATTTGATTTCCATTGTCGTTATCTTTGGGACTGGAAAAAAGGACCAGAAGGCCCATTTGCCGTATTCTTTTTCTCTTTTCTACCAGTACACATTTTTTAAAAATAATTTTATAAATACATTTGTTTTTAAACTAAATGTTTTAACTCTCATTTTATGAGTAAGTTTTAATCCTCTGCATTTCTTTTGGTCATATAGTTAAACCTAACCTCTTTTCTTTTTCTCCCTCTGCTCGAGGGTGAAGAAACATTTCTTCATAATGAAATATTAAATAATAATTCTATTTTATAATTGCTCTTGCTACTATATTTATGTACATTTTACACTACTCGTTTGAGCAACAATCTCGGTAAATTATAGTGTAAAAGAACTTTAAATGAAAATAATTTAATCTTAACAATTCATTATTTGGGCATCTTTGCTTCTGATCCTCTGTCTCACTGATATAACAGATAAATTAGTAGAAATGAAGATTAATTTGTTTGATTAATGGCTTAAATAAGTTGAAAAATCATGATTAAAATTGATACATATTGATTTATTTTAGTTTTTGTTTACGTATCACTGGTAAAAGAGTAAAATTATTTGGGAAAGTATGTATGATACCAAATTGATAATATTGAAGTTGGTTGACGATATTTTCTTAATTTTTGTGTTTGATATTATTTTGCCTTTCTGATGTCATTCCTAAAAATAAAGTCTGCTATTCTCCGTCTTTTGATCTTGAATTTAGTATTTTATTTCTTCACTCATAGATTTCTTAAGAGTAGTCCTTTATTATGTTATATTTCCTTGAATTTTTTTTTTTTTAATACTTTTCAATATAATTTATTCCTTCACAATCTTAATCATTAGTTCTCCACTCAATATAAAGAATGTTTATTGAAGCATTTTTGTTATGAAACGTACTACTATAGCTATGAAAGCTTATATTTGAATTTGTTTGGTTGTTTCATTCTCAGCTCAAGATATGCTTAAAATAACTATATTATTTATTTATTCTCCTTGTCCTGGCCTGGGTCCAAGTCCAGCTTTGGCACATAATTATTTATTCTGTGTCATTAATGTGATAGACCCTGGAGTCAGGAAATATCCCCTATATATTGTGTATTATTAATTGGAAAAAAAACCTGGAGATGGAGTATGATCTTGATCAAATCACCTACTTGCATAATCATAGGACTAGATAGCATACTTACAAAATTTTTGGATACTCCATGGGTTGTTGTGGTAGAGGTATAGTTTTTAAAAATAAGGTAGCTGTTTGTTTTTATTGGGCTAAGCTTCTAATTTTTGGGAGGTGGGACTACTATATATATAACGTTAATTACATTGGAAGAAAATAAGAAACTAAGTTCCTGTACGAAATGGTGTTTAATTCCTATTAAATATAATTAGACAAACAATAATACTTTTAGAGGTAACTTTTTTTCAGAAAACATGGTTATATTTAACTATTTGGGTGAGAGGGGGAAGGGGGGGGGTAGCTTCAACCCGAAAGCCTTCTTTCCCTAGAGTCGCCTGTGCTAAGTAGTAATTAAACAACATTGTAACTTAAATATGGTTCCTTTTGGAAAGAAATTAACTTTAAGGCATCTTTTTAATAAATTAAACCTCTTAAAAAAGGTTGATTGGGATTTGTTTCACAGAGAAAAAATGGTGTATAATGTGGTAAGAAAAATTTATAAAAGCTGTACTATAAAACATTACCTTTTTTGTAATTTAATAATGGGACAGTAAAACATACATATTTTTAATTTTCATGTGAATAAACTGGTTAAAAAAGCTTTTGATGAATTTGATTTTTAAACAATACTTAATAAATGCTAGTTCGATTTCATTCCTTGAAAAAAATGTCGGTTTCAGAAAAAACTTGTTTTAACAACACTTTTTTTAATATTTAGATTTCTTGATTGAAAATTAAAATTGCATTACTGGAATCAATGGAAATAAACAACTCATATGTTACCATTTATTCTATATGTGTATTCCAGGAGTGCTCATTCTCCCTCCCCCAAGGCTGATGGCGCCTTCCCCCATTCCTCCCAAGATATTTGACTGCTCTCTGCTTCTTAAAAACAGTGCAAATGAAAGCAGAGTTTAAATATTCGTAGATGATGATATATAATTACACATCCTGTGGTCTGTTCCATGCTTCAACTTGTCTTTTGATTTAAAATTTTCATTTTGAAAATTCATAACCCCGTCGAAAATTGTCCATATATTTTCATATTCGATAGATAGCATTTGTATCGACGATATGTTACCATTTTTATAAAAAAATTTAGTCTTTCATCCTTAAAATGTTCTTTGAACATTTATTAATATATTGTCGTCATAATTAATTTTTATATAATTACAATATCATCATAACACCTTTATTATTAATGTAAATTATAATAGGAATTTGAGAGAATAGGTGAAACAAAAACAATATAGTGCATATTTAGAAATAATTTTTCGTATATTTCTGAATGATTTTATTTTCTGGACTTTGTACATAGGAATTATATATCCAAATTTATCAAGTATTGTTTGTCATGTATTTAATTATCAATTAACTTACATTTATCACTAATTAGTTGAATTCGGTGGTTTATATTTTGTCTTGATTTAATGGACAAAATTTAAATGGAGGACGAAGAGAAAATGTTTTTTTTTTTCCTCAATTTTTATTAATATAGAACTTTTTTTAAAATTTAAATTACACATTTTTATGGACACATTTTACACAATGAGATAATATACAATGAGCAAATAATTATATTTTAAAAATATGGTGTGCTGTTCATATAGACAGAAATATATTTTTTGTACAGTAAAGAAAGCATTACTGATATTTCAGTCTTTTTTTTTTCTTTTATATTCAGTTAAATTTACACATTTACCTCGTATTGACGAAGCGATATATCGTAATTATGAACAGTTACACCATTTAACAAATCCTCTGAGGTTTTTGTCAGAGAACAATAACATTAAAAACGAAAATAAGAAAAACAAAGTCGACAAAAAAATTGGTAACTACAAACATAAGGTTTTAAGCTTAAAAAACTAATAATATAAATATATCTGATATAAATAATAAACAATCATTAAGTATTAATCCTTTTTTCAAAATAATATATATATTTATATACCCTTGAATGAAGGTAATTTTCATACTACAACAACAATGTATCAAAATAGGGTATTTATGTACACATTGACACAAATTTTTTATACGATTCGGAAGTTGTGGTCTGTAGATTATCTGCCTTTGGAGAAAATTTTGAGACCTCAACTTCAGAATCAATTACAATTTAGTGACAACAAAAACAATTGTACATTATCTACAAACAAGTATTTATAAATTCTTTATCGCATAGTATGTACAAAGAAATTGATACCTAAAACCCGGAACATTAGGTTTAACAGGATCTTTTCTTTAATTAATAATTTTTTTTCACAATTAATTTCTGTTTTGCCAAACTACACAAATGTACAATGGTGTGGTATATATTTATTGCCTTAACACAATTTTTTTTTCAATCTAAGTACTGAAAATTCTATTAAGTACCATAAATGAAGCCAGGTCATGTTATAAGAGACTTAGTGGGTTACAATGAAGATAAATGTATTATATAACTATTGTTTGCATAAATTATTACAAAGTTAAATAAAGTCATTTATTTTTCATATTCAGGGTGTAAACATTTAAGTTCCAAAACATGTATTTCTTGTTCTACTATTGAATCAATATTATATGTTTTTACAAATTTTGATTTCTCACAGCTAAAATTTTGAATCTAGTTTTGAATCATTATAAAAAACTTGTTTGCTAAGTTTACACCCTGTATATATTTTTAATAAAGATCACTCATGAAAATCTCTATTTTAGTTACCTTGATATCGTGTTATTTGAAAATTTATGAAGTGTTTTCTTTTATATAAAACACTAAAACTATTAACTTAGATTTTATTAATTAGTTTTTATAAAAAATATGAATGAAAAAAAATTACAATTCTTATGGTACTGAATTTGGTTCACTGATTATGTTTAATAATGTTTTGACCAGTCTTAGACATATTATTTTTTTAAATTCAAACATGGTAGGTTGTCGGGTGTTGTTTGAACTGTTGTTCTAACTAAGTCTATGAATATTTCTCACTGTTAAATTTGAGAAAAAATAATTGAATATTTTATAACTAATAAACACCTATTATAACTATAGCAAAATATTGAATTGTTTTGTATTTTGTATGTAACTGATTACATGCTTAATTTTTTTTTGGTCTCTGAGATTCAATTTCTTGTCTTGATGTATTACTTTTAAAAAATTTAACTGTTGAATGATTTCCAATTGGTGTTGAACTAATTGTCCATTTATGATTCACCCTTCACTAGCCTTAAGATGCCCGAATTCTATTCTCCTAGCTTTACATCTCTTTGGCATCTCTTTTTCGATCCTTTTCAGTTGGGCTGATTCCGGGCTTCGTTAGACACTCCTTTAAGATTGTCAAACTTCGGACATTTCCATATACAACATGTACATATAAGGTTCGCCTTACTCTATGTGGAAGCTAAGTGCCTCCACACACTGTGTCACATGCTGTTCATATACGGCCAGTTGAAACTGCTTCCGCTCAACAACATATCCCTTATGAGAGTCTCTATTGGTGTTTTGCCGACTAGCCTCACGAAGAAGAGTTGTTCGATTACTTGAGAGCTCACTGTCCTTAGAGATGGCAACCTTAGAAGTAGTTTTCCGAACCTTGTAGGCTGGTTGGGGTATTGTGTCCTGCAGTACTCTTCCAGTGCACACTGCGACTTTTCCTGTAACGACTCTATGTGAGCGACGTCAGACAGTCCGCAGGCATCTGTAACAGAAAATAAAAATATAATTAGAACAAAATTATACTAAAATTTAAAAATATTATATATATTTAACAATAATTAGTAATTTAAAATAGAAAAATTTAGAGTGACATAACAAAATGATTACTTTCTAATGAATATTTTCCATTGCATTGTAGTTGATAAGGTAAAACACGATCTGCATGCATGTTGATAAGGTTATCAATATTCAAATTATTGATTATGATGTTTGTATTTAAATAATACCTTTTCCAATCTCATTTATTTAGTTTTGTTTAGTATTATTTTATATTATTGCAATTTCCATGATAGGCAGAGATGGAAAAGTCTTGTTATGGGGAAAAAGATATACTGGGTCTGTAATACCAATTGAAAAAAAAAAAATTGTGTCCTAATCATTAAAAAATTCTATGATAAATTTTTAAGTAGGATTAATTGGTTTTTTACTTTTCTACTCCTACTGAGTAAGGAAAATATTGCAATTGAGTCAAATTTCTGATGTGGGGTTTTCAACTTATCTTAACATTTGAAAGCCCTTTAATTCCGAAAAATACATTTTCTGCCATTGTCTGTGCCAAGATCATCTCGGGAACTAGTAGACCGTTTTCGTTGCTTCCTTTTTTTGTTTTTAGGGTTTTGACTACCAATGCCTATGACATTCCGCAATAAGAGAAAAAAAATGTTTTTTGGTTTCATGTATATAATGATAATTACTTTGGAAAAAGAAAAAGAAAAAGAAACTAACCACCTGTATGAAATGGTGTTTAAATGATACTTGAAGTCCTATTAAATGTAATTACACCAACAATAATACTTTAAGGGATGAATTTTTAATATTTTCCATAAAACTTGATTACATTTTACCATTTTATTTGGATGGGCCTCAACCCGAAAGCCCTCCTTCCCCCCTGCAGATCCGCCTCTGCTACCGAATTCTTAAAAAAATTCAGGAAAAAAAAGTTATAAAGAAGAGTACAATTTTTTAGGGCAAACTCGCAAAGTATATGTTATATGAAATACTTTATGGTTGATCATTGTATATTTTTGTTTTGGAATATGGTCCGGGTTGTCGGTCATAAAAAGTCTAAAAAACTGGAAAAACATATTTTACATTTTTTTCCCCTTATTATTTTCGTTTTCTTCATACTCTTTTTATGTACATTATTTTTCCTTTTTCTTTCAATCTTTTCTTGAGATCTGTAGGATTATATTCATAATTACGTTATCCACCCTTCTTATTATATTAAATTTTCCTTATCTAAAATAATTGTTAACATTTATTTACTTCAGTTCAGGGTCTTGTTACTTCGTTATACTTCGTACTCTGTTTATATAGTTTATTGTTATTAATATGTCTATATATTTTCTATTTTATACTATGGACACTGTTTATAAATTTTATCTAAATATTATGTAACTTCTACATTTGTTCTAGCCTTGAAGGAGACCTGCAAAGTCGGGTCGAAACGTTGGCTTTAAATGAAATACTTTTTTCACTATTTTAGTCTTTTTATGACTGCCTCCCGGATCATCGCCTTCCTCAAAATTATACCTTCTATTGTAAAATTTATATAGAATCTGTTTAAAGGTGGTTAAATTAACTACAAAAAAAAAAAAAATCATCAGAATCAAATCAGTACACGGACGGATCTGGGGGGGGGGAGGGGACTTTTGAGCATGGGAAAATATAACTATGTTTTTTCGAAAAAAATGATCTCTTAAAGTATTATTGTTCATGTAATTACATTTAAAAGGCCTTTAGAAATCACTTAAACACCATTTCATACAGGTAGTTAGTTTCTTTCTTTTTTTTTCGAAGTAATTATCGTTATTTTTATGAAAAAAAAAATCTTGCGGGCTGAAGCTCTTTTCTCCAAAATTAAATCCTGGATCCGCTAGTGAATTAATATTGGCAATGATACAGCGTATTTACGTTTCTGCACATGTTTTATTTTATTACTTAACTATTGCTTCCTAGATAAGGAAAGTATTGAGGTCGGGTCAAAGAGTCCGAAAAATTAAATTGTTTTAAAATATTAATACATTTTATATGCTGAAAGTTTTTTTACTAAGATGTTACCTAACATTTTAAGAAAGTATATTTATTTATGATCGCAACGGCTTCACGTCAGCCTTTATAAGATCGTAGACATGCCTAAGCCGCATTGCCTCACCGACGGGATTAATGTAAACGGGACGTTTCACTATCTTCTCGGTACGTCAGCCTCCTGAATATTATCTCCGATCTGAACAGCTGGATTAAGTGGTACATTGGATTGACAGGGTTGCCAACTCACGTTAGCCGCTAATCAGGGAGGCTGTGATTTACCAACTGACTTCACTTTCCCACACACAGCAAACAATCAGCTTTCCCCTCCCGATTGATGTGTACCCGTAATTACTATATAATTACCCCCGGCGGCGGCCATTTCACCTCTTCCATAGCAGAAGGATCTTCCGAGTCTACCGTCGACAAGAGACATTTCTCACAGATGCGCTTGTTGCAGACTTTCTCCGAGTCCTTGATAATAAGCGATAGCTTCCTACATGGCTTAAAATACAACCTCACCGCAGTTGCAGTTTCCCTTCGAGTGTGATTTTGGACAGTAACTTGACTTATAATCTGTTCGTTTTGCCAGCTTCTCTTCGAAAGGATAGTAAATAACTAGGATCATGGAGGCAGTGTCAACATCTGGTTAAATGAATGGACAAGAACTCAAAGCAGATATATTGCAGACCATCTTACAGGAAAATCTTCGAAGGAGGACCAAATATAATATTTTGAACTGACAAGAGGAGGACACGACGTCCAACAATTTCAATGAAATCTTTTTTGGTGACGTTATTTCGACCTAGCATCACCAAAATAATTTCGTTCATATTGTTGGACGTGGAGTCAAAAATATTATATTAACCATTATTCTTTCAATTATTTACCCATTATTATATTATATCCAATATTATATTACCCATTTCCGAGGGTCCTTGCTAATGCGCTGTAGAAGTCGAGAAAAAATAAATAAAAATTAACATTTTTAAATTATTATTTTCTGCCTTTGCATTAATTTTTGAGTCATTATATACTAATATATATATATATATATATATATATTAGTATATAATGACTATATATACTAATATATTAATATATATATATATTAATATATATATATATATAAAGGGGACTGTACCACGGAACACGGGTGGATCTACGGGAGGGGGCTTTCGGGCTGAAGCCCCCTCCAAAATGGAAAAATATTACCATGTTTTATGAGAAAAAAAATTAAAAAATACCTCTTAAAGTATTATTGTTCATGTAATTACATTTAAAAGTACTTAAGGAATCACTTAAACACCATTTCCTATAGGTAGTTAGTTACTTTCTGTTTTTCCAAAGTAATTATCGTTATTTTTATGAAAAAAAAAAAGGTTTCGGGCTGAAGCCCTCCCCCAAAATTAAATCCTGAATCCGCTAGTGCCACGGAATATCTAGGAAATCGATTTTATGTTAGTCAAAGTAATTTTAAACTATTCTCTTCATAAATATTTATGCTTTAACATTTCAATTATTTTTATTTTTATCAGTGTTTTCTTATTGATTTCAAAATTGCTCAAAAAACATTTCGTTTGTTGGAAATGGAACTAAAATACTTTATAATTAATATTAGGCAATTTTAAGTATTCTCACATAAAATATATTTTCTGCAGTATTAAATGAGTTTTAATGTGTCATAAGTTTCAAAAAACCAAAACACTTTTAATAAAGTAGGCTTAATAACTTTTTGTTATAAAAAAGCAAGTTAGATCATTTCTTTTGCCCTTAATAAGAATTTTTATATAAAAAAGTAAAACAAATAAATTACTTAATTTTTCGGTTTTTGTTTTATTTGACCGTTTACTAAAGAAATCTTAACTCCTCAAGTTTTTTTTTTTCTTCAAATGTAACGTTAATATAACTGATGTAAAGCTGAATTACTGCTGTTCAAACCCATTTCAACAAAGTTTAAATTTTAGATTTTATTATAAGGTGGAAACTATGAAAAACTTCTCAAACATTGTTATTTTATTCTATTCTAAGTCGCGGTTCTAATTTATTTACAGAAGCCGATTTTGTAGTTAATTTGATATTTAAGGTTTTTTAGAAATGGCAAAAACTAATATAATTTCTCCATAAAAATATGTTTACCATGCATTGCTGTGTCTACTGGTCCAATTTTTTTTGTTAATACTGTGCTCATACTATCGCTGTCTAACAAACATAATAATTCTTCTAGACTTGTCCGTCTAATCTAATTCCAAGTTAAAAGAAGACCCTCTTGGCCCCGGGACGCGAACTCACAATTATTTTATCGTTTATAGTGTTATCCAAAATCGGTCTTGGTCTTTGCAAGACCATGACCAAGGCCGCCTAACTGTTGTAAGACCAAGAACAGGACTGGTAAAAAAAGTAGATTTTTTAAATAAAAATCAAGGCAAAATAGTTACTAGTACTTGACAATCTTAGTTACTATATGTAAAGAATTGGTATAACCAATATACTTTTGCATTTAACTCTTCTATTAGCAATAAGCTAATAGGTAACTGCAAGACTATTGCGAGAGTCTTGCGGAAGACCAAGGCCCGTCTCAGTCTCACATTTGGGCAACACTAATCGTTTATAACTTTTGTTATCTGGCTGCTAGGCAACGCCTGGTGCTGTGCACACACGTGTTAATCCACTTGGCCACCCCGCCCTCTGTATGAATTAATAACAATCAAAGATTGTGGAAAACCAAAACAGTAATTCAGTTAGCTGTGTTGGTTACTTTGATTTGTTCATTTACCATCTCCATCCCTCTCCAGAGAACAGACTCCCTTAAGGGATTAATTTCGGAATTAGAAGGGAGTCAATATCCCTAATTATATCAAATATTCCTTTTGACGGAGTTCCATAAAAGTTAGCCGAGTCTGTTTCATTACTGGAAGGGTTACCTTTTTGAAAACATCATCCCCCCCCCTCCCCCCCACCACGCCACCGACACTTCCAACTCATTAGAAAGACAATTGTCTACCCAATTATATCTTCCTCAGATTAATTCTCCCTTCAAATTGAATTCCCTTCCCCGAGAGTAGCCCCTGACAAAGTTTATTTTTGTAGTAATTATTTGTTCGGCCAACCCTTCCTCTCTCCTGCTTCTCTAATTTAAATAATTAGCAAACATCAAAAGTATATCTCGCTTTCTCTTTCGATTTTAAATATCCCGAGTCGCTCAAGATTTTGGTTTAATTTCGCTTTTAGGTTTACTACAAAATAAGCAAAAAAATTCAAGGAGAACTTTTAAGTCGAAGCTTATGATTAGAAATTACGCTCTAACCTTGTGTCGAAAGTACAATTGTAGAATCATTAAAGACTATTGACAACAAAAGTTTTAATAAAACTGCAGACATCTGTCAGGTAATTCAATTATATTTTTAAAAAAGTATTGATCTTATTGTTAAAAATTAAAAACTGTGCGCGTATCACATGACGTTTATATCGCTTTTCATTTCCCTTTATGGCTGTGTATAGTATTAAAAAATACTGATGGTTGTGGGAAAAATGACTTTTTTTTTTGGAAAATTCTGAGTTTTATCGGAAATATTTATTAGGAAACTTGTCGAAAAAATAACTTAATATTTGTAAATATTGTATATTATTAGGTTTATATTAGTAGATCCACAACATTTCGCCTCAAAACTTTTTTTTAAAATTATGAATTAGTGAAATTTAAATTAACAATACGAAAGCCCTGTAAAGAGGAGTATGAGGTATCTGTAAACGGAGAGAATTGACAAAGGTCAGACGCTCTCGACTATTTCCGTATAGCTTCTAGCCCTTATTTTTCCTTTAGTTATCAATCAATTTTCTACATTTTGATTGGTATTGATCATTATATGTAAGAATGAATTAGATTGAGCCGTCAGATCTTGGATGTGTAACGCTAGGATAAGTCGACTGGAGTCGAATAATTGATGTTTTTGCATATAGATTAAAATATCTCATAAAATAAAAATGTATGCACATTGTAAGCGAGGGAAATGTTTATCATTTCATTCCTTTGTAATGAGATATTATTCAAAATTGTATCTTAAAGCGACGCTCTATTAGAGAGGCGAAAAGAAAAAAAAATAGTGTAGAAAACCAAATGATAATGAGTTTTATATGGATTAAAATATCTTAACTAAAAATCGGATCTGTGTACTGTAAGCGACGGAAATTGTTCAGTATTTCATCCTCTTTATAATGAGCTATTATTTATAATTTATATTTCATATTATTAATCTCTCCTTGTTGTTTTCACTTCTATCGAGTGGCCTAAAGCACACACTTTATTTTTTTCTCTCATACTGATCTTGTTGATTCTTTCAATCACTTGCATAAAATTACATGTTATCACCGGGACTCGAACCCGGGACCTTGAGCATAGCAGCTCACTGCATTACTCACTGAGCTACTCTACTCTCTAATATAAAGATTACTATAAATAAAAATTAAAATTAAAAAAACACGCTATTTTTCTATTTTTTGTTTCTTGGAAAAAATCTGATGCCCATATATAAAAAAATATTTACATATGCAATATTAAGTTTACAAAAAAATGATCCGGCTTTGTTTATATCCGGTTCATAAACGATTCGATCCACAGTCCACAGTCCATCCTTCAAAAAGATACTACAAACCATAATTTTTTTATTTCTATATATTTTTTAAATTTTTATTTATGTAGTTATATAAAAGTAGCTCATTCACACTATGTGCAATAAATAAACAGCAACATAATAGTACTGAAACTATATTTATATAAACTAAAATAAACCAAAAGGAATTAAACGAATCAAAATAACTACTTAAGTACACACATCCCTCCGAGGTGTCTGAAAAGAAAATGGCCTCGTGATCTACTAATGGGTGGTTTCTCAACAAGCGTTCTCATGCGATTGTATTATTTCTGTGTTCACATTTACTAGTTGTATTTTTTTTTATAATACAGTTGTAAATATAAACACATGCTTCTATACAATATTTACGGAATTCGTTCACTACAGATCTCCGAGTCATTTTATCCCACTCGTGGAAGGAAATACAGGACTCTAGGGGATCCCAGCGCCTCTCACTCAGCCTCATTACTGGTATTAAGGATCCATAGTTTAAAATCTCAAAAATGATCCTACGTGTTCAGACGAGTTTCCCTCGACGCGAAGAGCATTCGACTATCGCCCGCGAACACAGCTCGCTCGTGTCGCTGTGAAGCAAGCGATCCTCGATGGCTACTAAACGTGTTCCTCGACGGTCGAATTGGCCAACCCCTGTATCAAGTCCCAACTGGAAGATTGACCGAGGTGTTAACTGAATTCTTTCCCGGCTGACTCAGGGTCTGGTACTGCACCCACGCCTTGCGACACAGCCGTTTCGAAACCGTTCGCTAATGCCTCGTTCGTGATTTACTTTTATTAAACGCCAGGC